AGACGGTATGGAAGGAGAAGGAGCTCCACGACTCTTCATGAGCCTTTCGTAGACACAGTTGCCTCCCACCACTGGCTACGTTTTGTTACCCTCTTTGGAGAAACCGAGGAATTTGTCTGTGCCATACAGGATCAGGTTATTAAGACCAACAACTATCGGAGATACATCCTAAGGGATGGCACCGTCGACATCTGTCGAGCTTGTGGCCATCCCGGAGAGTCACTTAGGCATGTCATCTTCGGTTATTCGGCACCTTCTAACTCTGAGTACTTGCATAGGCACAACCTGCCTGGGACACAGATAACTTTTACTGGTACCTTCTTGTACCACCAGGATGATTATGTTGTTTTGTGAAGAGGTTAGCATTTTTTTTTGGTTAATATTAAAATTTCATATATGTATATGAAATTAATTATGGTTAATGTTAAAATTTTAGCCCTAACTCTCGAGTTATGCAATTAAGAACAATAATTTTAATGTCAATTTGTAAGTGATATCCTTAAGTATTAGGACAGTATTAAAAATTTAGTATTAATGTGCTAGTTTTTGAAGTATGTTAAGAAAAATAAAAAAACAGTCTTTTTTTACTTAATTTAGCATTGTAAATATTTTTAAGATAAACTTGTCATGATGTTTATTTTATTTGATAGATGCTATTTTTACCTTTTAAATAACATTTTTTTTTACATCTGTAGGACCTTTCTGTCCAGAGAAATATGCATCTTTTGGCAGAGGTATCTACAAGAATAAAACAAATTTAAATGGCGGCCATTCTGAGAGGAGGGGCAGTAAAGCCCCCAAATATGGGTGTTTTGTAGATGAAATTAGGTATATTTTGTAAACTTAAATTATCGCTAGGTCGTGACCGGACACACCACAAACCTGTTAATCCTCTGGCATACAGAGTCAACGTGATTCTGCCATGTGAGTTCGGAATCAATCACAATACCGAGAAAGGTCGGTCATGCGGTCATGGCAATGGGATCGTTACCATGGTGTACCGATAGTTGTTAGGGTTTACCATTTTTGTTGTAAAATTTTATATACTTTGTTTTACTTGTATTAATTTTTAAATCATTATATTTTAGCCAATTCGTTATATTTCTTATTTCATTATTTATTTCATCATTATAGTCAGTGTTAGGTTTTTTATGTATAGTTATGGAAATATCGTCAGCATAGAGTGTAACAGGATATCGTGTACACTTTGGAAGGTCATAGATGTAAAGAATGAAGAGTAATGGTCCCAATATACTGCCCTGTGGGACACCTGAGTTATTCGCCCTAATCTCCGATCTGTACGTCACACTCTGACACCCATCATCTAGCTTCGGTACTTCCACAAACTGAATCATTTCACTGAAATAGCTCCTTATCCAATCCTCGCACACCATAACGCTCAAGCTTATTCAGAAGAGTCTTATCATTGAGAAAGTCAAAAGCCTTACTCATATCGAAAATAATGATGGATATGGGAGCCCTGTTGCTCATATGTATCTGTATGTTTTTAATAAGGGAGTAACAGGCCAGTGCTGTTGACCTTTCCTTGCGAAACCCAAATTGTTCTTCCCTAATTATGTAGTGTTTTGTGAAAAACGAAATTAATCTGACCTGCAAGATCACTTCGAATATCTTTGACAAACTGGGATAAGTGCAATGGGTCTGTAGATGTTTAAATTACGCCTCTTTCCGCGTTAAAATAGTGGCTTGACGATAGAGATCTTCAGAGTGCTCAGAAATTTATCTTCTTCAAAGCGACGATTCACAAAATGTGCCAAGTCACTTGCACAAGCCCTAACTATCTTTGTACATATCGCATTATGACATGTGGAATTTGTGTTGTTCAGAGTGTTTATAATTTTGACTATTTAATTTTCATCGGTAGGGTTTAAAAATATAGATGCGGAAGTATGTTCGATAAACTTCAGTTTACTCAAGTTACATTGGTAGTTACCAGGTACATTTGGCGAGTCTATAAAGTGATTATTAAATGCGTTTGCAATATCTGAAGGATTATTTATAATTTAGTCATTTATTTTTAGGTAGTCAATATTATGTTTGTCATTTACTTCGTCTTTGTTATTTATTATATTCCAAGTGGCTTTGCATTTATTTCTGGCTGTATTAACATATTTCTCATTAGTAATTTTTTGGGATAGTAATATACATTTCCTAAGTATTTTAGAGTACTGTCGGTATTTATTTTTAGTATTATATGTGTGTTTTTTATAATAAGAAAAACGTAATTTTCTTTTAGTTTGACATGATATTTTTAAGCCCTTGAAAAACATAAATTATATAAGAGAATAAGCTCATTATGAAATGGTGTGAAATCATCATCTACATTTTTGAAGTCAATATGACTTCGCCATGGGTAGTTCGTCAAAAAAAAAAATAGAAATCTCTATTTCCATAGCATAATATCGTATGGTATTTTAATATGAGTCCTCATACGCAACAATAATTAAGACGCGGTAAAAATTGAGTTGAACTAAAGGAAGCGAATTTTGTATTAAGAGTAATTTTTTGTTGTTGTTGAAAACTGCTATTTTACATCTCTTGGATTCAACTTGGGCTGATTATGATAATATGACATTTTATTTACATTTAACTGGAGAAGAAATGTTAAGTGTTGTGGGAATGCTGCAGGCTGGTGCTTCCCAACGTGACGTCGCTGCGGCAATAGGCACCAGGCAAAATGAGATTTCGAGGTTATGGTCACGCTATTGTACCACAGGGGAGGTGGCGGAGAGAGATCTAGGACTAAGACGCATTACTAGACCCAAACAAGACCGTTTTTTGCAAATTGTTGCAAGATGGCAACCAAATGTTACGGCAATACAAAGTGCTACAGTCCTTGGTCCATTATGCTCGTAGACGACTTCGGGTTCCAGCTCTAAGAAGAGGAAATCGTGCCTGAATACTGAAATGGACTAGAGAACATTTTGACTGTGAACCTCTTTAATGGCTGTTGGTGCTTTTCTTAATTTGGTTTTCATCCTGATTCAAGGAGAGTACATGTTTGGAGATTTCCTGGTCGTACAAGCTGGCTTCAACTCCCTGAAGAAGTTCATACATACAAAGGTGGTACAATTATGGTGTGAACAGGAATTCGTTTTGGTGGAAGAACAGACCTTGTTTAGATACATGGCACTATGACGGCTGAAAAATACCGTAATGAGGTATTGGAACCAATAGTCTTGCCACATCGAACACAAATGGGTAAAAATTTCCTGCTTATGCACGGCGATGTCCGTTCACATACGGCCAGAGTGATAACAGCCTAGTTGCACGAACATGATATTACGGCACTAGAATGGCCAGCAATCGCCATATTTAAATCCCATGCTTGGGTCTATGCTCCAAAGTAGAGCTCTGCGGGATTTTCCTTAAAATTTGGTTACAGAAGAAAAAGTTTTTATGCATATCAGTTAGTCCCATGAAGCAGTAGGACCTGAGACAATATTCCAACCGGTGCAGATGCGTTATGAATGTCATGGGTACTTTAACTGATTATTAATTCTTAGTTAATAGCCGACCATAAAAGGGTTTTACTTTACTTTATCTTTTAATTTAAAATTAAACTTTCATGATGTAGGTAGGTACCTACAGTTTTCACACATGCGTTTTTTTCTATGCATAAAAATCTGATATCTCACTAAAGACAATGTTTATATAAGAAAATGGTAGATTAATAAATAAAGTTTTCTTGAATATTTGTATGTCTTAAGAAAATATTGGCATACTCTGGTATTCATACATGAACACTCACGCCTGTCACCCAGAGGGGTCGGCAGACACTATGGACTTCCATTTGGCACAATCCTGACACACCTCTCTCGCTTCCTCCACATCCATATACCTACGCATACACGCTCGTCGGTTAAAGGTACTCTTGATTTGGCCCATTTTCAATATATCGCCAATTTGATCGATAAACTTTCGCCTGGCGTCCCTTTCCGACTCTGCCATTCACCTCTGCAACATAAATTTGCTTTGTCACTCTTTCATTTTCATTCATCTACCAACTCGCTCCTTATTCTTTTATCAACAATTATGAAATCTGTCATGCTTCTATCATCACCTCTTTCCCATGTATATGTGTGAATCTTCTTATGACGAAAGAAAGTGTTTGTCACAAAAACATTCTTTCCACACATACGGTGAATACGGTCTGCTATTCATGTGTTGTAAAATATCCCTACACCTTGATGTGATTATTAAGGAATTTATGGATATTAATAACCTTTGGGAATGAGGTGATCGCTACTCATGCTATTTCTAGCTTCATGCTGTTTTTCGCTGATTCTTCCCAGGACAGAGGTATTTTCCGAAACAGTGGTAAATTAAATACAAGAGTGATTTTCAATAAGTATTGTTTATAATCTACATATTATACGAGTATTAAATTGTTCTATTTCTATCATATTGCGTTGGCTAACTCCATATAAATCTTAAATAATCTTATAAGGTACTGGAAGTTCATAAAAGTAAGTATTCTATATTAATATTAGATCAAATTACTGTTTAAATACCATTACACATGATTACGTGTACAAATACAAGCCAGAATTAACGGAATATAAATATATAAAACAGCATAGTATAATTTATTGGCGCTATTATATACTATGTTATAGCGCCAAGTAAGAATAATTGTAAACACAGTCATTTACTCATCCTTACTTACAATATACCTGATGTACATATAGTCTGTTAATCAAACATAAAGAAAAGAAGTTTTGTGCAATGTTAAATATTTTTTTAATATTCGAAACCAAATAAAACTGGTACTTCCAAATAAAAGTTCCAGATCGGAAAACAAATGGTTAGTTCTTGCAAATTGCACAATACTAACCCAGTATTCGAACTTAGGACCTACGAATCAGATGCGGTGTACACTTTGGCTAAATGTAACAAAAGAACTACAATCAAACATAATATAATTTCATAACTTTTATGTATAATCGTAAACGTAACATAATATAATTTTTTTTCAGTATTATTATAGACTATGTGACGTCGGGGGAAGTGATAGGCTTAGAATTAGTCGCACCAGATTCGGTGAAAAGATGGCGTCAATGTTTAGGAGATACAGATCCCGTTGATGCTGCACCGGGTACATTGAGACACATGTACGGTGAAAATAAACTGAAAAATATTGCACATGGTTGTCAAACCCTAGAAGATGCAAACCGAGTATGTACCTATTTATCGCACTTAGCTGTTTTATTATACCACTAGCGAACCGCTCCGGCTTCGCCTGGATAGGTTCTATTAATGTGTCGTTATTTGGCATTGTTTTTTTATCTGTTGCTAAAGTTTCATCACAATTATTGGTTTAGCTATTCCGAAGAATAGCCCGGACAGACAGACAGACAGACCAAAGTTTAAAAAAATGGTTATTTGAGTTTTATTAGCATGCAAATAATCGCCTGAGTTTAATAGAAGCCAGTTATTTTTACAGATAGACACTTCAATTTTAATAGGTCTTTACTACATGTGCGGTTAAAGAATGGGACTGAAAATGGCGTCGCCTTTATTCACCTCTCGCTCGCACTCTGTCGCTATTTATACTCACATCCGTCAGTAGACTGCAAAAAAACTACATTGCGATTTGCGTCTTTCGTACGTTCTACAACTTTAGTCAAACTTGTCATTGGAATCGATGATAACAATATTCCATAGGCTACAAAAAAAATTAGTTCGCTAATTTCTGAGCTATGACTCTGACGCGTTATGAGAGTTTTCTTCATTATTATTGTTGATTTTGTTATGTTAATATGTACACAAATAAATAAAATTGAAGTGTCTGTTTGTAATGTTAAAATAACAGCTGTTTACTAAATGCATATGAAAGTATATATACGGTACCTACTAATAAAAAACAAACAATTTTTAAAATTTTTGTCTGTCTGTTCCGGCTAGTTTCCGAAGGTTAAAATATACAGCAAACAATCATATTCAAAGATATATTCTGAAGGTCAAATAAAGAGTTCTCCTTCTTCTTTATCAGCCCGTAACAGAGGTAGGTCCTATTACTTTTTCTAGGATAGTGAATCACATTTGAAAACTATACATCAGTATCTTGAGTTTCTGTTTATACAAGTAAAGTACTCGTATAATAGCTAAATTCAGACCTCAGGTATTACGCTATAGATAACGCAACAGATATTACTGACGTTGTTTATTTCTGCACTGCTCCTATAAAGCATAAAGACAATAATGGATATATCCAGCTTTCCAAAACTTGGCGTGTTGGAAGCAACGATTTGAGGGCGTTGTATTCGTGGTATGTAGTGAATCAACACCATAATATCACAGAAGTTTCACTAAGATTTCACAGACCTCTGTATACTTACATGAAAAGTGTGCATAGTGTATAGAGCTAACATAAATTGGACGTGGTTATGCAAAAAGGATCCAACCCTAAAATTAAAGCTGATTTGAGGTTATGAAATTTGAAGAATGGATATGTATGGCTTGTGTTTGTGTTTGTAATTTTTGTTCTTATTTGTGTTACTTTCGCTAAAATTGTTGCATCACATAATGTACACCACAAACATCATTTTTCAACTGAACATTTTTGACACAAATTACATTGGATCCTTTTTGCGTAACTATGTCCAATTATGTTAATATTTGCTATCTTCTGCTGTGTTGCACGTTTATGCTCTAGTTATAAATAAATGTGAAATCATCGGGACACATTGTACAAAGCTTCGCCAATAAACTAGTTACAATATTTTTAATCAACCACCAGCACGGCACAGTGGTCCCCACTCACGGTCAGTTAAACAGACATCAGTTCAACTGATCATTTCAAACGGATTTAATTCAAAAAAAAAATTCGACACACACGATCAGTTCAACTGATCATTCCAACTGATCAGTTCAAACTAGGGCTGTTGATATTTTTAAAATATCGGATTTTCAATATATCGATAATTATAAATATATCAATATCGGAGTTTTATATATGGGAAACATAAGCGATATATTGATGCTTATTGCTTAAAAATGATTCACACAGTTTGTAATTTAGTATATTTATTAAAAAATTAAATTATAAATGTATGAAAATGTTAGGTTATAGTTCTTAGTAATTATTTTACTAAGAACTATAACCTAATTATTAAAGAGCCATGGTATCTCAGATGGTTAGCGCTCGCTGTAAATTTCACAGTACACGAGCAACCCGGGTTCGATCCCCGCCGGCACCAACGAAATTGTTAATTGCAATTTTAAGTGCTGATTTACCACGTGCTCGACGATGAAGGAAAACATCGTGAGGAAACCTGCATGTCTGAGAAATAAAATAAAAAATTCAGAAAGCGTGAAGTTCGCCTACACGCATTGGGGCAGCGCGGCGGACGTTGCCCTAAAACCCTCTCAGAAGTTAGGAGATGCCTGCCGAGCTGAGGAGTGCCCAGCATTAGGACGTATATAGGCTGTAACTTTAACTTGAATTATTGTTTAATTTAAATAAGACAATTATGTTTACCAATATTAATCAGTAAGAGTTTTAAAAAATACTCGTTGTTTTATATGTTCAGCTGTTTCAATACTCCAATTATTGGGCACTAAAAGATTGATTGTAGAAGTAATTCGTTCAGATGCTTTGGAGGCAGCTGAAAAAATCAAGTATTTAACAGCTATTTCTGATAGCACGGAAGTACGAGTAAATCATAAGACGCCTAAGCGATTAAAATAACTTGAGGCTTATACCAACATCGAAGCACTTATTTCGACGTTTTCTCTAAGAGCTCACATGTGCAGACACTTAATACACATAATCGCACCACTTTCATAAAAATCCACTTCAAACGATTATTTAAACGATAAAACAGGAGTAAACATCCGTCAATGGTCAAGCTCGTGCCAAAACTCACAGTAAGTAAAGTAGTACTAAGTTTCATAAATTATAGTGATTTTAATATCACAGAGATATTATACTTCTTTTTAAGATAATAAGCAAATAAATGAACTGGGGAAAAATGAAAAACATAATATAGTGTAAATAAAGTATAGTAGATTGGGTCCATCCAGAATTAGGATTTTAGTTTACGATGGTGTTGTAGATTAAATGATTTACGTGAAAAAATAAAAAATTAAATTATTTAAAAAAATATATCGACTGTCGTATATCTATATTTCAATATCAAACTTATAGTTCAATATATGTCGTCAGAAATATTAGAAATAAATATCGGTATTACTAAATAATAAAATAGATTTTTCGATATATCGATATTTTATCAACAGTCCTAGTTCAAACGTGGGGCATGGCCGTGGGCGTTTGGTTTGCGTGACTCCTATAAAATATCATATATATATAGATACATTAAATGATATTTAATGATACCTAAATCTTATTTAATAGCATTTCCTGTCTATTAATATATATCTATACAAATAAATAAAATTGAAGTGTCTATATGTAATGTCAAAATAACAGTTTTTTACTAAATGCATATGAAAGTACATACGGTACTTATAACAAAAACATAGTTTTTAAAATCTTTGCCTATCTTTCTTTCTGTCTGTCTGTCTGTTTGTTCCGGCTAATCTCCGAATTCGCTGAACCGATTTTGACGAGAGTTTCAGTGGCAGATAACTGATATTATATGGAGGAACTTAGGCTAATTTTAATTTAGAAAAAGAATTAGGGTTCCGTGCAAAAAAATTAAAACCCATGCAATCCAATCGTAATAAATTACACGCGGGCAAAGTCGCGGGAAACAGCTAGTTAATAGATAGGAAATGATATTTTTAATTTATAGGAGTCACGTCAACTAAACGCGCACGACTGCGGCTTCATCGATCGAGAAATGAAATCCGTTCCGTATATAGGTATATATGTATATAAATAACGTTTCCTATATATTAACACTTCAAAAGATATTTTTATTCATGATAAGGTCAGTATTAAGACACTTTTAAGATATGGGTCAGATATTATGATAATTTTACTCATTATGGTAATTTTTATTTATTTAATAAATGTGTTATTTTTATCTGTTTATTAAATTACCTATCTGTACAGCGGGCGACACCCCACTGATACTAACTTGCACTCCGGTTACGTTGAATCCAAAAAAATCTGTGGGCATGGGCACATTCTGAAGGTCTTATGATGACCAGATAATGCTTATCGGTTTTTAGTAACGGAAATAGTTAGGATGACCTAGTTTTCTGTGTTGATCTAATTGAGCTCTCGACGTGTTACATACTAAAATAAAGTTGAAGCACCCAAACTTCACGAATTAAAATAAGTTAAACAAAATCAAATCCGTAAAGTTTGTTTTATTAAAAGTGTAGTATTCGTGTAATAAATCACTCAAAAATCATTGAATTCTAAATACTTAACTTGGTCATTTATAAGAATTGGTGTTAATGGTGCCCTGTAGGTTTTCTTGGAGTACGCAGATATTTTCGTCTTCTGGTTTTTCCGTTCTGCCTTTTTTATTGCCTGTAAAATATATGGTTGATTTCTAATTTTGTACCTGCTTAGTCGTTTTGCTGCTTTTTAATTGCATGAAAACATTATAAAATGAGTAATAATACTGTTTGTACTATTTATTATATTTATATTATTTGTGGTTACTTCTTGAGCCCCTCCAAATGAGCCCAAACACGATGGTGTTTCGTAGTGGCATAACAGATCTTTTACCCCACCTTCTTTGTTCACCATCATGAAGGTAATATAATCACATTAAACTAGGTCTTTATAAACCCTTTCAAATGAGTTCAAACACGATCGTTCTACCTAGTGCCGCCACTGAGATCCTATACCCACATTCGCATTGCACCATCAGAAAGGTGAGGTCATAACAGTCACCTAGGTCTTTATGAGCCCTTTCAAATGAGTTCAAACATGATACTTCTATCTAGTGCCGTTACTGAGATCCTATACTCACCTTCGGATTGCACCATCAGAAAGGTGACATCATAACAGTCACCTAAGTCTTTATGAGCCCATTCAAATGAGTTCAAACGCGGTCTTTCTATCTAGTGTCGTCACTGAGATCCTATACCCACCTTCGGATTGCACCATCAGAAAGGTGAGATCATAACAGTCACCTAGGTCTTTATGAGCCCATTCAAATTAGTTCAAATACGATCCTTCTATCTAGTGCCGTCACTGAGATTCTATATCCACCTTCGGATTACACCATCAGAAAGGTGAGGTCATAACAGTCACCTAGGTCTTTATGAGCCCATTCAAATGAGTTCAAACGCGGTCTTTCTATCTAGTGTCGTCACTGAGATCCTATACCCACCTTCGGATTGCACCAATATAAAGGTGATATCATCACAGTAATTTAGGTCTCCATTTACCTATTTGAAAATGAGTCCAAACACGATGGTTCTACGTAGTAGCATCACTGAGATCCTTTACCCACCTTCTGAGTCCACCATAATGAAGGTGACATCATTACCATCACCTTGGTCTCCATCCTCTGTCAAACCAACTTCTCTAAATATATATGATGGCTCCGTGGCGCAGTGGCTTAGCAATGAATTGCGGCGCGGGTTCGAATCCCGCACGGAACAAGTATTTGTATGGCCTACAAATGATTGTTCCGGGTCTGGATGTTTGTCCTTGTGCAATTTGTGTTTTTAAACTGCCTCCACGATACAGGAGAAAATCCTAGTGTGGGGGTAACGTTTTTTTTTTAATAAAAAACATATATAAAATAATATAAAATCTTAAATCATGTTATAAAAAATTATAAAATATATATAAAAGCTACTAAGAAAGTATGTACTTACCAATAATGGAAACGAACTGAAGCCAGTGGATTACGGTGCGCCCGGAAAAATACGTGGGTTGCCGTCAGTTAAAAATTTTAACTTAGATTTCACATTCACGATCAGTTTTTGGATGTACGTCAGTTCAACGGAGCAGTTTAACTGACAGTACACCCGAATAAAATCCGTGTGTTGCCTTCAGTTAAAAATTTCAACTTAAGATTTTGCATTCACGGTCAGTTTTTGGATGTACGTCAGTTAAACTGTTCAGTTTAACTGACCGTGAGTGGGGACCATACATTGCCACATTGCTAGACTTCGATGATCTCATGCATCGAATCCTCTTTAAAAGTCGATTAAGACAGCTTTGTAGAATGGTGCGTGGCCCGGAGCACAAATTTTTTGGCGTTTGGTCGATGAATCATATTAAGATAACCATGATTCTTTACCGGTTATAATTTTATTTAAAAACATTTTATGCCTGTCTGTTTAACAAAATTGCGTGAAGCACAATTACACGGCGCTCTTTCTGCTTTTCCGTTAAGAGCGCGGGACTAACTTCACACACATTTTTTTCCAAGAAAATCGTGCAAAATGTGATAAACACTTTCTATACTAATGTAAGTAGTAAGTATATTTCGTCTAACAACATTGCAACGTAATTCGCCGATTACGAGGTAGCATCATGCGCACACGTTCTATATTTTCATCGGTAGTCGAAGTCAAAGGGCGCCCCCCTCAAGGATCTTCTTTCATCGACTGTCAACTGTGTTCTGGAATCGTGCTTTCCATTTTAAAACCATGGGTCAGCTTAAACAATCATTACTAACCGCGGTTTTCATCGATTCGAATGTTTTCGCAAAATGTGGTAAGCAATTTCCATACTAATGTAAGTAGTAAGTATATTTCGTCTAACAACATTGCAACGTAATTCGCCGATTACGAGGCAGCATCATGCGCACACGTTCTATATTCTCATCGGTAGTCGAGGTCAAAGGGCGCCCCTCTCAAGGATCTTCTTTCATCGACTGTCAACTGTGTTCTGGAATCGTGCTTTCCATTTTAAAACCATGGGTCAGCTTAAACAATCATTACTAACCGCGGTTTTCATCGATTCGAATGTTTTCGAAAAAATGTGGTAAGCACATTCCATACTAATGTAAGTACTAAGTATTTTTCGTCTAAAAACATAGCAACGTAATTCGCCGATTACGAGGCAGCATCATGCGCACACGTTCTATATTCTCATTGGTAGTCGAGGTCAAAGGGCGCCCCTCTCAAGGAACTTCTTTCAGCGACTGTCGACTGTGTTCTGGAATCGTGCTTTCCATTCTAAAACCATGGGTCAGCTTAAACAATCATTACTAACCGCGGTTTTCATCGATTCGAATGTTTTCGCAAAATATGGTAAGCACTTTCCATACTGATGTAAGTACTAAGTATTTTTCGTCTAACAACATAGCAACGTGATTCGCCGATTACGAGGCAGCATCATGCGCACACATTCTATATTCTCATTGGTAGTCGAGGTCAAAGGGCGCCCCTCTCAAGGATCTTCTTTCAACGACTGTCAATTGTGTTCTGAAACCGTGCTTTCCACTCTAAAACCATGGGTCAGCTTAAACAATTATCACTAACCGCGGTTTTCATCGATGTTTTCAAGTACTTTTTCTCAATATAAAACAAAATTTTATTGCGGCATTTTGCTCCAGACTTTGCTTACCTACGGTCAAATGTAGCCACGAGTATAGGTACTACGAGAGATCTTAGTTCATGATGGGGAAACTGTGAAACTGATGAAATGACTGACAGCGACCACTTTTCTGTCGACTTCCAAAAAGGAGACGGTTCTCAATTCGATTGTATGTTTTTTTTTAATATCTTTTTTCGACAATTCTTTTTTATTTGAAAGCTGGTACTTTTCGTGTGGTCCCATATGAATTTGATCAAGGTCAGCCGAATAGTTTTTGAGTTATTCTTAATAACTTATATTGAAGTCGGCTGTACAAAATTTTTAATTTTAAGTTATAACACAACTCTTCTATGATCGTTGTAATTATATATTATCTGTACGCTCAACAAATACAGTTAGTAGAATTTATAGTTTTACTACGCGTAAGATACGAAATTGCGTGACATCTAAAGCAGAAATGTAATACGGTAGAAATGTATGCAGAGAAAATATTGCATTGTTTTGGTTACACCAACACATGCTTGTATTTAATTTTTTGCAGATGTTAGATTTATTTTTTGGTTATGAAAACGGTATACCCAGGATTTCTTTCCGGGCAACTTTAAAGGATTGCACCTGCTGTATTATAAAACCTCACGCCATTATTGATGGTAACGTTGGCTCCATCCTCGAACAAATATCAATATCTGGAAAATTCTTTATTTCGGCTATGGCAATGTTCTCTGTAAATGTTGCAAATGCAGAAGAGTTTTACGAAATATACAAGGGAGTTTTACCGGAATATGAGGTAGGGAAATAGTTTTACTTTTGTAATCTTTACTGTATTTTTCAATAGAAACGATATAATATATTATAAATACTAATGTAATTAATAAGTTTTATCATTGGCAGTCTCGTACTAGAGCACAATTCAGATTTAATGATATTAACGTTACAACCTATCAAAAGTCCACTGCTGAAAATAGGCTTCCCCATAGATTGTCTCATAGGGGGGATATTTGCCACAGTTGCCACGCTTGGTAAGCGCAATTTTTTTTGGTCGTTATTAGGAAGACGCAGCTGTCCATCTCCTGATTTGTTTCCCCTCTGTCGCCTCTTACGACACCCACGGGATGATATGGGGTAGTAGACATTCTTACACCGCCAGTACAAGGTGAGATATGTATCTTCATCATTACAGCCCTTCACAAGTCCACTGCTGAACATTGGCCTCCCCCAAGGAATGCCACAAAGCACGGTCCTGAGCCACCTGCATCTATTGACTGACACGTCTTACCAGGTCGTCACTCCGAGATATGTATCTTAAGCGGTTCAGTGCGGATGGCACGACAGGCGTGCCATCGATATCTTTTGTGTCTGGCGTATGACACATGCGTTTTTGGTAAATTTATCCAGAACAAAATATTCATTATTTTGCAAGTTTATGCCTGCCGCTTCGTATCTGGATATTTTAAAAATTTGAAATTGTTAGGGGTTGACAACCTTTTTTTAACTTTTACATGGTACTCTTTTTACTTTGTGGGTTTTCAATAATGTTGTGGAAAAATAGTCTAATAAGTAACAAATAATAGCACTCATCGCTCACAAACTCAAGTTGTAAATAAATTTCTGTAAAACAAGTCTCCTGTTAAAAAAAAACAATGCGTTTGTCTTATTGTTTAAATTTGCTTAAAATGGTTGAAGTGCCGTCTTATTACTATCATATGGCCGAATAGACCTACGAAGTACCATGTGTTCTTGTGATATGGTATAAGGTTTATTTTTGCTTGAAACAGTTTGAAACCGTTCATGCATAAAAAAAGTTCGCTAATAAATAGTCTTTTGTCAATCCGCCGCCGTATAGCGCCGGCGTTTGTTTCCTTTTGAAAACACTTGTTTTGCATTCTTACTAATAAGACGTTTTCAAATCGACTTTACTTTTACATTTGTATAACATTAAATAATATTTAACATTTGTAAATATTAATGAATCATAAACCTTATTTTTTTCCAAATTAAGTTTCTTGATTGTTTGATATTTACAAATATTATTATTAGGTGAAAATTTAATTTAATAAAAACCAAGGTTTTCCAGAGTGATTTAGCTGTACCTACTTATATAAATGATTTTTTTTATAAAACAAAAAATAGTACAAAATGTTTGTAATCTCTGCATAAAAAAGTCACTCTCAATTTCAAAGAAAACACGTACCTAGTTACCCACTAAAAACAAGTATGCATCCGTTTGTAACTGATGTTTGATGTCAACTAAACTTCATTAAGTCTAAACAAGTGAAAAAAGCATAAAAAAGATAATTATTTTTACACATGGATGATGGCACAATAGACGTGTCATCAACTCTGCAACGCCAGGCGTGTCATGAATTATTTGTTCAAAAATTGCTAATATGGTGCGTCTTATATTATTTATGATTTGTTGCAGGCAATGTGTATTCATTTGGCTGAAGGACAATGTATTGCCCTAGAAGTGAAATGTACGGATAAAAATTGTTGCGTTGTCAAAGAATTTAGAAAGTTATGTGGCCCTAGAGATCCCGTTAGTATTATATTGACATAGAATTTAAGAATTTAGGAGTTTTCATGATCCCAATTTATCCACTGTTAAATAAACGTCAACTAAGGGAAATGCATGAAACACTTACTGGAACTCGGTGGCACCAAAGGAATTTCGATATATACAGAGACTGTGAACTCCCTACAATCCCGGCACATGAGTAAAGAAACCGACCAGAGGGGAAGCTACATACAAACGGCTCGCGGCGAATACACCCATACATAGCCCAGCGATGTGTGCGTGAGCTCTCACCGACAGGTTCACCGACGCTCAGTCGGGGCACAGAGTAAAGAGTAAGGACCAGAGGGGAAGCTTCTTATTTTATGCTATTTTTTCCTTAAATTTTTCACATGCATTATGTGACAACCCTATCAGAATAGGTATACATTTTCGACATTGTTAAGAAGCTTCCCCTCTGGTCCTTACTCTTTACTCTGTGATCCCGGTCTCGGAATATTTTAAGGAGCTATCTCAGCGCTATTCAAAAGTGCTAAAACCCTAATACGCTAGTGGCAAACGCTAGTTCCAACCGCAAACGTTGTACCCGGTCTCCGTAGATCTCGTAACGTCTATATCGAAACACCAATGACATTCGATTCCGCGAATCCGAACGATGTAGACACGACAAAACGATACTATACATGGGTGACATCTACACCTAATGTGACACAAATATGACTCTACGGGTGGGACGCGTCACGTGTCCCACCCGTAGAGGGTGGGACACGTGACGCGTCGCATCCGTAGGCGGGCACGACGCACTACCGGTCACACCGCATACACACTGTACGTGGGCATACCTGTGAGGTTCTCATCGCCCAGAACATCGACCGACATGATCTAACCAGTCGGAGACGGTGGGTCGCACACGGACAGCGGTTAGTTTTGTTTTATAGGATAGGATAGGGTAAACGAGCACACAGTCCACCTGATGGCAAGTGGTTAAGTAATCAAAATGCAGATGCGTTGTCACCCGCAAAGGGTCTCCGGTCCTCTACACTCAACATACGAAACACAGCAGTGTTAAGCTGCTATTTTACGCTGGTATTCTGTGAAAGCTTGGTCCTTCCCCGGTCGAGCCGACCCGTTTGTGCTATAACTACACTACTAATATAGCTGCAGCATGGCTCTACCATGTTTAGATAGCTCATAAACCCCTCATACTGGGGTCATAATGATTGGTAAAAACCAAATAATAACAATAATCATCATCAACGCCTTTCCTTTTTTATATAGCTCGCGGTCTGTGTAGCTGTAAAAGCCAAAGGGCTAACAGCACCAACTGTTCATAATAAAGACGAGAATTAATTTCAATTCAAGGTGTCATATTATCTACTATCTTATTTAAAGTTTCCATAAATTCCACTACTTCCTAAATATTGTTACGAGCTTGGGGTTCGAGACAATTAAAAACTGCCGATTGAATTACCAAAATTGACACTTTAATTACACAACACTAATTATAACTTAAAATCACACTAATAATAAAACACAGTTCGCCGTTATTTCGCTTCGAAGTATTCTCTTGTATCGCCAATTCAATACTGCCTCGGTCGTGGTCTATACCGGCCTTATATAGGGCCTCAGATAGTTTTCAGAACCTTCTACTGTAGCGACATCTAGAATGTTCGAGTACATATCGGTCCCGAAATTTCTGGAAGGATCTCGACTCTCCTAGTTCTGCTACTCGACACTAGAGGGCGCTAGTGTGACTAGTGTTGCCATGTACAAGACATTAATAGTGGCGCGCAATACTTTCATTTACTCGACACTAGGGGGCGCTAGTGTAACTAGTGTTGCCATGTACAAGACATTAATAGTGGCGCGTAACACTGCCCCCTCCTAAGACATGCTCGTCCCGAGCATTATTGGCCCCATAATAACGCGCCAGTCGATCCACATGGACAATCTTAGGAGTACCTCTGGCACCTTTCTGTATCCGGTAGGTCACATCATTGATCCTTGTCACAATCCGGTACGGTCCGTCCCATTTAGCTTGAAGCTTAGGAGATTTCCCTTTGCTGCGAACTGGATTGTGTAACCACACTAGTGAACCTTCATCAAAGCCCTTGTTGTTCATTTTGCGGTCATACCGTGTTTTCATCTTCTCAGACGTTTGCTGGCCCGTCTGTCTGACGTGCTCATAAATGTCCTTCATTTTGTTCCGCAAGTCATTTGCATAATCGGTTATACTGCGTGGGGCATCAGGTGGTATTCCGGTGATCAGGTCTGCAGGCAGCCGCAATTCTCTCCCAAAGTTTGCGAAAGCTGGTGTCACTGATGTACTTTCGTGAACAGCGCTTCGATATGACAACAAAAACGGTTGTATGTGCCTGTCCCAGTCTCGTTGCCGTTTTTCACACAACTTTTGCTAGGTACCTCTCCAATGTCTGATTAAATCTTTCTACCATTCCATCAGATTGTGGGTGGTAAGAAGTTGTTCGTGTTTTCTGAGTACCCATAACTCGGCAAGTTTCCTGGAATATTTGAGACTCAAAATTCCTTCCTTGATCGCTGTGAATCTCTAAAGGTACTCCAAAACGACAGCAGACTTCATGAAATAGTTTATCTGCAACTGTTGAAGCTTCTTGATTTGGAATGGCGAAGACTTCTGGCCACTTAGTGAAGTAATCCATCACTACCATGAAATACTTGTTACCACTTTCAGTTTCTGGAAACGGCCCCGCAACGTCAATGGCTATCCTCTCCCATGGTGCACCAACATTGTACAATTTCAATGCGCCTCTACTACGAATTTGAGGTCCCTTTACAGCCGCACAACTTGTACATTTGCGGCACCAGTCCTCGACATCGTCACGACAGTGGACCCAGTAAAACCGTTCTCGGATCTACAGGAGAGTTCGTTTAACTCCCAGGTGGCCTCCTGAACAACCACTATGGTACAGCTGTAGAATATCCGGCACTTTAGCCTTAGGGACAACCATTTGAAAATGACACCTGTCTCCCCGACCATTTTCCCATTTACGGCACAGGACTCCATCCTGAATCAACAAGCTGTCCCATTGGGCCCAATAGCTTTTCGTGGTCGAACTCAGTGCTGAGACGTCGCTCCACTTGGGCTTAGGAGCACTGGCCTTCATCCATTCCAGAATCGGCTTAATGTCCGAATCTTCCTGCTGTGCATATTGTAGGCTGTCCTTCCACTCATTGCTGAGCTGGTCTGTCCTGAGCATTCTCACAGATACCACTTCCTTACCCTCTTGCCTAGTACAATGCTTGCAATCTTCAGGGCAAGGTCTTCTTGACAATGCATCTGCATTGCCATGAGATTTCCCGCTGCGATGTTCGATCACAAAGTCGTATTCCTGCAGTAGTTCTATCCATCTCGCAACTTGTCCTTCCGGATTTTTGAACTGCAATAGCCATTTCAATGCAGCATGGTCAGTTCGGAAGTGGAATTTCCGCCCTAGAAGATATTTGCTAAAATGCTGCAAGGACTTTACCACAGCAAGCAATTCCCGTCTTGTGACACAATAGTTCCTTTCCGGCTTTGACAACGACTTGCTGAAGTACGCTATCACAATCTCTTGATCACCATTCCGTTGAGACAACACACCGCCAAGTCCTATATCACTTGCGTCTGTGTCAACTATGAATTCCTTGCTCGCATCAGGGTACCCCAAAATAGGTGTTTTGCACAGGCGGTTCTTGAGCTCCTGGAATGCAATATCGCAACTTTCATGTCAGCAGAATTTTCCCTTCTCCTCGGTTAGCTTGTGCAGAGGTTTGGCTATATCTGCAAAGTTCTTCACAAATCGCCGATAATAAGAGCACAAACCCAAAAATGCTCTAACCTGTGTCTTGTCTTTTGGGACCCGCCACTCCTTGACAGCAGCAATTTTCTCTGGATCCGTGCGGATACCTTCTTCCGACACTACATACCCCAAAAAACTAACTTGCCGTTTGAATAGTGAGCACTTCTTTGGACTCAACTTGAGGTTGGCACTCTGGATCTTCATGAGCACGCGTTCCAGGTTTTGAAGGTGCTCCTCAAACGTACGGCCTACGATGATGATGTCATCCAAATAGACGAGACAGGCATCTCCAATTAGCCCGGTAAGTACAAGCTCCATCAACCTTTCAAACGTTGCTGGAGCATTGCACAATCCAAACGGCATGACTTTAAATTGCCACAGACCCTTTCCTGTGGAAAATGCAGTTTTCTCCTTGTCCTTAGGGTCAATTTCAACCTGCCAGTAGCCACTTTTCAGGTCCAGCGTACTAAACCACTTTACGCCTGTGAGCATATCCAGCGTGTCATCAATTCTAGGCAAGGGATAGCTGTCCTTCTTCGTAACGTCGTTCAGGCGGCGGTAGTCAACACAAAACCGCATGCTGCCGTCCTTCTTCTTTACCAGCACCACAGGTGAACACCATGGACTAGATGAAGGTTCAATAACACCATCCTTCACCATTCCCTCAATCATGGTTTCCACTTTCTTTTCACGTGCTACAGGCAATCTTCTTGGCCGCTGACGAATAGGCAATTCTTGTCCCGTGTTTATTTTGTGTTGAACTAAGCCAGTCTTTCCTATGTCAGCATCGTTTGACGAGAAAACATTGGCGTACTTGAGTAACAACTTCTTCGCTTTGACCGTTTCATTCGGGGAGAGAACGCTGCGACAGTCTTCTAAAAGTGTGGTCACTCTAGTTTGTCCATCCTTGCTGGGGGTCCCAGTCGATAGATATTCGCACCGACGCAACCAATCCACTTCCTCACTAGTACCAACCAATGTGCCTTTTTCTATAATCTGTTCCTGATCACAAAGGTTCAGCACACGTACTCCTGAGATGTCGGCGGTTCTGACCAAGGTTCGAGCCGCTTTCCATGGAAGGTCATTGTCTACCCTTTCCACGAGTACACAACGAAGAGATTGCCCAGGATTCCGTGGAAGTCTAACAGGCACAATCGTTTCCGATCTCGGCGGAAGAACAATCTTCTTAAGGCTGTACACATTCCC